AGGTTGAGGCATGAAAGGGGAGAGGATCGGGTTGGGGGTGAGACGGGGAAAGACCCTCCCAGTGAAAGTGGCCGGACCCGGCATGAGGCAGAGCAGTTTGGCTACGTTTTCTAGACTCTTGTTTTCCCAAGTGGGGGGCACGTTCCGGGTCCCTGCAGCACTTGCCTATGGAGAAGCCGGTTGGAGGGGACACCAGTGGCAATGAATTAATCAGAGTGAATGTCATTACCCTGTTTTGCCACCTAAACTCCTGCTTTTCCCCTCTCTCCCCGCCCTCTGTCCTGACAGCTGCTGCACTTGTCTTGGCTTTAGATGCAGCTTTTGTGGAAGATCTAGATGACTCGTAAGTACTCCTATTTTATTGTCACGTGAAATGTTGCCTAGGTATTACTTTGTTTTCATGGAGGTGCTGCTCTTTTGTTGCTTTGGTGCTCTGTGGTATTACCAAGTGGAAAATGCTGAATAAGTCTTGTTTGTTTATTCAGTAGCAACTATGAAATGCATGAACGAAAAGGTTGTGGTTTGTATAACTACTTTTGTCATAACTAGTATGAAGTTGAAGCACAGTGAGCATGGCTTAATTTTGCAATGGCTGTTTATTGTTTTGTGAGGCTATGATTAGGGATCTCTGTTTTGGAAGGCTGAAGGAAAACAGGATAAATAGACACAGATTAAATATGCTCTTTTCTTCCAAAGCTTCTGACTATAGCAGTACATTTAAATCTATTCAGAGGTTGGAGTGTGAAGAATCAGATTTTCATAACTAGGAGATGTTTCACAAAAGTTCTCCGAAGGAACTACTGCTTGGTGTTTATGTTTTTAGCAGAAGTTTTCAACAGTATCTGCAAGCTTATACTAACTTGTGAAAATATCTGGATTTGAAAGTGTTGACACTTTCTATCTCAGTGCCCTTGGAAACTTAATTTAATAAGCAGTTAGTTGTCCAAACATGTATGCTATGGTTCTTCATTAAACAAGTGCTGGGATCGGGTCACAAATGTATGCCATATCTTCTTATAATAACTGGATGGTATGAAGACTAAACTTTTTTAGTTCATCAAAAATCCAGCAGCAGTACTAGTACATATACAACCAGGGTTTATGAAAGTAGAATATGGGGAAAACTTTGCATTGTTTTTATTATTTGAATTAAAATAGTTCATAGAGGTTCTATTGTGGTACCGTGGCATTATACAAACACCTAGTAAGAAATTATCCTTATCTCAAAGAGCTTACAACCTAGTTGTGAGAGAGAAAAAGAATGGTAGGGGAAACAGGTGAAATGACTTGTCTGACATCACACAATAGGCTAGTGCTACAGGTCTGAATAGAAACTAGATTCTAAAGTCTGGTCTTTTAGATTACTTTACTTCAGTGTATTAGTACTTCAGAAAGGGGTATCTGCTGATAAACTAGTTAATTGGAAATGGAAGTATTTTGTATTCAGTTATCAAGTACATGTGGCCTAAAATAAGCATCTATAGGAAGTTATCAAACCATGAATGTCAGTAATGTCCATTTCCCCAATTCCTGTTATCTTAAATTGTCTATCATATCTATTTATTGGGTGACTGTTGATGGATAAATTACCAGAGCTGTAGCACATACTATTTTTTCTGCTTGATTTAAATCCAGATGTCCTATGTTGGATATTATGGAATTTTGGTTGGATATTATGGAATTATTCAGGTCACTATATAATGCTATGTTGATACTTACGTGATCCAGAAAATACCATATCATACAGTACAAGGTTTATCTGGCATGTCGTGGGAATGGGAGATGCTGGTAAGTATATTTAAAAAAAAAAAAAGGAGGGGTGGGGTAATTAAGAGAGAGGAAGTTTGGATGTGGGAGGAGTTTTGGGGCAGGAAGTTGGATTCAGGAAGGTTTTGGGGATGCCTGATATAATATCTAGGCTGTGCTGATATAATATCTAGACATCTTGGGTGTCTCCCTGCTGTTTTTAGTGGAGGTACAGCCAGATGGCCCTGCACACACACTGCCTCTTCCCTTAGGCGTTGCCCCTGCTGCTCCCATTGGCTGGTTAATGGAATCTGCAGAACCAGCACTTGGGGTGCGGACAATGCAGAGAGCCCCCATGGATGTTCCTCCACCTAGAAGCATTGATTACAGGCAAATGGGAGCTATGAGGACAATACCTGTGGGCGGAGGGAATGCCCAGACCTGATTGGCCATACTTCTGCCTAGGAGCAGCAGAGACTATAACCACTTGAGGGGAGCCACCCGAAATGAGTGTTTCCCTAATCCAGCACCCCAAATGCCCTTTTGCTCCCAAACTCCCTCTTTAAAGCTCCACAGATCCTCCCCACAGATCCTCCCCCCCACCAAAATGCTAATTTAAATAGTAATTTGGTTGTGAATGTTCTCCCTGCGCTTACATTTGGTTTACTGTGTTTCAGGAACAATTTTATGTAGATGATTTATAATTAAGGCTTTTTAAAAAGTTTGAATTTTTTTTTTAAATTGGGTTAAAATAATATTTTCTTTTGCCTAATTTAAGCACTCTGTGCTTGTTTTATTTACTAGGGCTTTATAAGGTTTAATAATGGAAGTGACTGTCAATACTACTAATGTTTAAATACTAATGTTTAAAAGTTACTTCCTGCTACAGAGAATACACACTATTTCACAGGAATTTAGTTTAATACAAGTAAAAATATGAATTTTAAATACCTGCTATGATTCTACATAGGAGTCTGTGAATTTTATTTTCAAATTTCATATACATTTATGACAAATATCTTCAGTAAGGGGCAATTTAAAGATTTTTTTTTCTTAAAAATTTAAATCAAATTAAGTCTTTAATGTGAAACTGACAAAGGTAAGAATATAAAATTTCAGCTCTTATACTTTGCCAGTTCATCTCTTAGTAAAAAGAACATTTAAATTTGGTTCAAAATTTAATTTTGTGTAAAGATTTGTAGAACTTGATTTGACATTCTTGTTTAGGTTCCATTGGTACCCGTTCTTTCTAAACAAACACTTCCCATCAGATAGTGTAACATTAAGGGCTTGAATAAGAAACTGACATGTCTGTGTTCAGGCATAAGGTGGGTGAGGCAATTCCTTTTTTGGACCAGCTTCTTTTGGGGTGAGAGAAAAGGTTTAGAACTTACACAGAGTTCTTCAGATCAACCTGAGAGAATCGGGGGGGGAGGGGGGGAATGTAAAATGGCATAAATAGTGCTAATAATAACACAGGTTAAGATTTATACTATATTTTTGAAGTTCTTTGTCCCTTTAGCCTCTTATGAATATTATTGAGTACTTAAATAATTGTGAGAATAGCAGTTTAAAAATCCATTCTGTTCCTGTCCACTTGCTTGAATTTTTTTGGATTGCTATAAGCTAGTCATATCTTTGACTATGTGCATTAATATTCCATATGAAGTAGATGTAAAATGCTTTGATTGCATGAAATAAAATATGCTGTAAAAAATGTGTACCTGCTTTGGAGAGGACATGAAATTCTGTGATTACAAATTGAGAATATATTCTAATTGCAAACGGAAGCTGGGATCATCATCAGTGTTTAAGATTTCATAATTAGAAATCGTATTTTGGTGCATAAGGGAAAATAGAATATATCTAGATCTTTCATTAGCTCTGCAGTGCAAACAATAGTAAAATTTTTTTTTAGTAAAATGAAAAGAGCCTGCATGTGTGGCTTAAAAAACCCTGAAAACATTTTGTATAGCTGTTTCACCATATTTCAGATAGCTTTTCTGCAGTCAGCATCTTTGTTTGGTTCATGTTTGGTACTTTCAGTGAACTATCTGAACAGGTGTATTAAATTTCCCCAACTCCCTCCAGACATGCGAGCATGCAGGAAGGAAGTGTGCGATGCAGGAATGTGTTACATTTACTAGATCCAAAGGTTATTAGTTCCTCACTATAATAAATTGTAGTTAAGTACAAAAATAACTTCCTAGTAAGTGATCTCATTGTCATCTAATTGCAATGACAAGAAAAATAGGCTTGTAAATACATATAAAATTGATTCTGTTAGGTACCTCTTTAAACTTAATGACTTCATTGTAGTGTATATTTCATAAAGACCTTTCTGCGGTGCTGTTCAAACTAGTCAGTTTATCTTGTCAGTCATTTCTCGAACATTAAATAAAAGCCAGAACATACAGATTAGTTCAAAAGATAGATTAGTATGCTTCTGTCATCTGAAGAAGTGGGTTGTGCCCATGAAAGCTCATGATACCATCTACATGTTTTGTTCGCCTGTAAGGTTCTTCTGGACTATTTGTTGTTTAAGTTTTTCCATATAGATAGTGAACAACACTAATCTTAACTTTGTATTCTTTGATAAATTCTTGATAAAGTAAATGTTGAGGTTGTGTTAAAATGACTACCTAGTTTCATATTGAAGTTATCTGCAAGATTTTTACAGTATTGAGCAAACTAATATAACAGTCACTCTGAGTTTGAAAACTAATTAGTAAATTAATCTAGGATGTTTTAGTGCACAAACTTAATGTAGGTTGTGTGTGTTTCTTAACAAGCATAGTTGTATGGAAAAGAGGAATAGCTGAATTACATTTCTCCATAATACTACTTCAGATTAATTGTTGTAGGCTAAATGTACAGTGCAATAAAAGGTTATCTGACAGTGATTGAAAACAGTGCATTGTGCCAAAGAACTTGTTATATAGTGAAATCTGCCTATTGGCGAACCATTTTTTCCTATAATCATTTACTCTTAAATGGTCCTGAAATTATTTTTTTATTGATGGCCATGGGTGTTGGTGGACTAATATTATACATTGCAGTGTGCAGTATATAAGGAATTTCAATAGGAAAAAAACTGATAAGCTTAGTATTCCTGCCATATTTATGCTTTGAGCTTTTCTTCCTTTAGTTTAAACCAGGCCCTATTTCCTCCTTCCTTCAGAAACAAATAGTATATTTGTGTGCTTGTGAATAGGCATGTTACATATTGTACTTTTCTTTTCTAGGTTTAAAGACAATCGTAAAGATGATATTTGGCTTGTAGATGTGAGTATGTGAGAAGCATTAAGGTTCACGCTTTGTTGAAACTTTAGTTTTCTAATAGTTTAGTTAAAAAAAATCTGTATATACTACACATTGTTATAAAGCTGCTACATAATTGGAAAGGTTTTTCTGTATGGTGGTGAAAAATGAAGTGCTGTGTTCCAGTGTGTAGGAAAATAATGTGTATACTACACAAGCTATTTTTCTATATTGTACAGGGTAATCCAGGAATTGACCTGCTTGCATTAAGCACTTAGTGCTTTACATTGCATTAATCAAGTCATTTGGAACTATATTTAAGAGGAAAATAACTACCCCATAGCTCTATGTACTCATGCATGTACTTCAGATTTTAGCTCTTGTATCATGGTCCTTGTTCAAAATCCTTTTTTTTACAATACAATATATTTGGAAATGTTATGTTCAGTATTCTCTAGTTCTAAGAGTAGGTATAAAACATAAAGTTGAATTTAAGGTTTGTGCAATCTAAATACTGCCGCAGAGTATGTATAGCAACATTTCTTAAACTGCGTTCCATAGCACACCAGTGTGCCACAAGGCAGTCAGAGGAGTGCTGTGGAGAAAACAGAAATAATTCTGCTCCGCCACCCCCTGCAGTGCCCGTAGACAGTGGCTGCTCCCCCTCCCATCCCAGTCCGCATGACGGCCTCTGCCCCATGGGGCCTCCACTGCCGCGCAGCCTCCTCTTCCTCCAAGTATGCAGGTGGCAGCTTTTACAGCAGCCGCTGCTGCTGGGAGTGGGAGGGGTGGCTAGAGCTGAGGAGCTGCTCCTGGACCTCAGCCTTTTTAAAACTTCCATCTGTAGGGAGCCTGGCTCAGGCTCTGCCATGCCCCTCCCCTGAATCCTGTCTGTGGCATGTTTGGGCTCTGCGGCCTCCTATGCACTGCTGCTCTCTCTCTCCTGCACCCACTCCCCAGCCTGCTGAGGAAGTGGCAGAGTTTAATCTGGCGGGGATGGTCGAGGTTCCTACTGTCTTCTCTGCTCCCCTCCCATCCCCCCCAGTCCGCCAGCAGGAAGCCTGTCCTGGTGCTGCAGCTTTGCTGGGTTCCCCGCTGCATGGGCGGGGTGGGTGGGGGGGAAACTGAGCTCCCCATCCCACCCTGAGGAACAAGAACATGCTCCCTGGAGGCTTTCCCTGCTGCAGCAGGGTGCCAAGCCAGGTAAGCGTCCCCCCCTCATGCCCAGACCCTGCACCGAAACCCCCCTCATTCCCCTGCCATGACCCCACATTCCCAGCTTGCTCTGACACCCTGCCCCAATTCTCCCTCTGCACCCTCTCTGCCCCAAGATCCCTCCTCTACACTCACTCCTGGTCCAATGGGTTTTTTGTTTTGCTTGACACATTTTTCCTGGGGGCTGTTTTTTTTTTCTCTCTCTCTCGACAAAAAAATCCTTGGTCTTCCCCATAAAAAAAAAATTGGTGTTCCTCAGTCTTAGAAAGTTTAAGAAACACTGGTGTATAGTATCTTCTGCATAAATTACTTCCACAAAGGCAAAAGCTATGCTGTTTTTCAACTTGAAAGTTTATTTCCTGGGCCTGTGATTATTCAGTACTGAAGTCTTAGGTAGATAGGCAGATAGAAGGAATTCACCCAGCTGCATCCTGGCTCTGAAGGAAATAGGAGATGCTTTACACTATATGGTGAGATATATGAACTTCATGCTCAAGAGCAAAGCGTTAAGGCACAACTCTGGGTCAGCCATTCCCACCCAGCTGCATTTCAAAGCTCGCACAAGTTGGGGGCAGTGCTCTAAAAAGGGAGCAGAGCAATTCAGAGGGAGCAAACAGAGGTCTGCACTGAGGGGAAAATAACATGTATGCAAACTCACAGAGGAGAGGCAGGTGATTGAGTTTGCAGGTCAGATACTTCATTGTAGTGAATAGCTCAGGAAACAAAAGGAGACTGGGTAGGAAGTGGTCCAACAACTTAACACTCCAGCTCTTAAATGTAGCTGCCCACCACTGGGCTTTTGACCAGAGCCTGGTGTAGAAGTGAGCCTGGGCTCCCCTTCCACTCCGAGAGCACATTATCATTCCAGAAGTCTTCACCTAGTTGAGACGCCTTCTGGGAAAGGCCTTGACTATTTAAGGACACAAACTCAATAAAGTTTCTGTGCTAAAGGGAAGGACTGGAAACCATTGGGGGATAGAGACATGGAAGGACTGGATTGGTCTTTCAAAGGGTAGGTGCTCTGCCAAATTCCCACATAACTATTTGACAGCACTGTTGGTAATTGTTCAGTTGCTACACACTATCAAATGCAAATATTATAAGATTAATGTTTATAGTTACCAGATACTTGTTCACTTACATTTGACTCCCTATTTCCTTTGAAAATCTGAAGTCCTGGGGGCTGCTGGTGATCTGCTTCTTGTTTTGAGACTTCCATCAAATAGATAGGCCTCTCTAGTAGGTAGTTGCGATGGCAAACACATTAAACGTCTTTATAGAAGTTCAGATTCCTTTATACAGATACCAATCTAGTCACCCATTGAACACTATATCCAGATGAGGCAATTTGCCCCTCTTGGTACACTTTTTTAGACAATAGATTGTCAAGTCTGCTCCTGTGCTATGACTTTACATAGACAGAAGCACTGAAGATAAATAACTTGTAGGTCTTGTCCTAAAAAAGTAATCTTAAATAGCCTTCAAGACAGGAATTGCTGTTAATACAGCATCTGGAAATACTCATTTTGGATCCATTCCTACACTATTGAATCAGGAAAGATGAGTTTACTAATAAAACTGGAGTAGAGAATTTGAGGAAGCCCTAATAAGGAGAGGATTATTTAATTGGCAATGTGTATTGATTTTCAAAATGTGCGGACTGATGGTTTTTATAGAGTTCATTGTTTCTATATAATGCCACACTTGTGACTTGTTCTCGCAGTTCTATGCACCTTGGTGTGGCCATTGTAAGAAATTGGAGCCGGTGTGGAATGAAGTTGGTATGGAGATAAGAAGCAGTGGGTCTCCGGTAAAAGTTGGGAAGATGGATGCAACATCTTATTCTAGTAAGTATATGTTGTGTAGGTATAGTTTTGTTGTAAGCTAGTTTTGCATATGAAGCAACCAGTAGGATTACTATTACAAAATACTATTTCCTGTAAACAAATGCACTTGTCTTGAAGACTATGCTAGCTAAGTGTGTCAGTAATAACTAAGATATGGATGTGTAATATCTCACTTTAGTGACTTTCCCATGCTTCTGTGGTTTACCTCTTCAATCCAAACCTCAAATCCTTGTACATGTAAAACAAATAGGAAGAGAGGTGTTTTTGTCTAACCTTTATTTTATAACTTTTTCAGATGGAAATGTGACTATTTTTAAGTTAAAAATATTTGGTTGGTAGATTTTGTTCTGAAATAGTTCCTAAGAGCCCAAATCTTGACTGGATTCTGATGGGGCTATCATATTGATTGGTAGTGCTTTCGACTTATTACAAAGGAAGACATACTGTAAAATCGCAAGTATAATGCGCACCTATGTATAATGCGCACCTACCTTTTAAACATCAGAATTCTGGAATAAACTGAGCTCTTCTCTATAATACGCACCCCCATTATACTCGCGATTTTACTGTATATATAGGAAGGAAGGGGCCGCTCCCACCTGCAGGCTCCAGGGAAAAGCATGTGCAGCACCGGGGAGCCTGCAACGGTGTTTGAAACTTGCTCCCTGCCCAGCTCCTCGTGCGCCACACTGAGCTCACGCCTGCTGTGGGGCCCCTCCCTCCCCGCCCTCCCACAATACGCACCCCCATTATACTCGCGATTTTACTGTATATATAGGAAGGAAGGGGCCGCTCCCACCTGCAGGCTCCAGGGAAAAGCATGTGCAGCACCGGGGAGCCTGCAACGGTGTTTGAAACTTGCTCCCTGCCCAGCTCCTCGTGCGCCACACTGAGCTCACGCCTGCTGTGGGGCCCCTCCCTCCCCGCCCTCCCACCCA